AACCCACGCGGGGGGGGGGGAGGGGATGGACGTTACGCGAGGGGAAACTTTGCCTCCTGCGAAAATGATGTCTGCTATGAGTGTAATCAAAGTGGGCACTCAAGCCCCCCCCCCTTAGCGCCGGGGATCTTTCCAGACCTTCAGAAGGGGACCCGTAAATTCAGTCTTTCATTGCGAACCCGTGTGAATTTTGAGAGGAAATTTCGATTTCGTTATCGTCTCGTTCTGATCGACCGAAACCGTCTGTTATTTTCACCGAGTCTTAGCGACCAGGTCGATGGGGAATTTTCGTCATTCGTCAATTTTCGTGACCCTCTCGGTCCTTCGTTTCGATCGATCGTCGTCACTTCTTCGCGAGATCCAACGTCCGTCTCGTCCTCGTCGTCGTCTTCGAATGCGAAAATCCTTTCGTCGACGAAGTCAAACTGCAGCCTACGAAAGCACCGATGAATCGCAGCATCGGAGAAAATTACCCGTTTCCGACCGGGCGCATGACCGAGGGCTGAAGGGAAGTGGCCGGAGAATTGTCGCAGATGACGTCGCTCAACTTTCTGTCCCGGATGACCTGGACCTGCTCGGGGGTGAAGCTGTTCGGGAGCCCGGTGTGCGTGAAGAAGAAGCGATCCCCGTACTTGAGACGACGGAAAGCGTCGGCCACGTAGCAGGCATGGGTGGGGCCGATCACGGCGTCGTCCGCGACGGGCGTTTCCAGAAATCCCGCGCTGTACATGTCCAAGTCGTCTGGGTCCCTGCTCGACGAATCGTCGACTTCATCTCTCCGTCCCCCCGGGACGAGAAAACGAAACGAGAAAGAGAGAGAGAGAGACGAACGTGTAGAGGCTGCGAAGGATATCCCATTTCCTCTGAGAGAATTCCTTCGGCCTGGAATCCCAATCCTCGAGTTTCTCGATCCCGCAAAACGCCCTGTATTCGTTGTATCCGAGGATGCCGTGATCTCGGCCGCGCTGCAAACACCGCAGTCAAAGCGTGAAACTTGGAACAAGGACGTGACGAAAATCCTCACGTATCCGATGAAACTCGCACGAGTGCAACGAGTGTACTCATCAACTATTATGGGAAGATGACGTCCCGTTAGGGATCTACTGACCTGGATCCCCCTGGCCACGAGATCCTCCCCGAATTCATTCGCGGAGAGCCTGTTGAGATAATTTCGAACGGCGTCTGCAAAATGTTCATCGAACGACTGGGTGTCTTGCCCTGAAAAAAAAAGGACTTTGAGGCCCACCGCTGCGGCGTTCGCTCACGCGTTGCAACGGACTCTTAGCAGCAGACCTGCAACGCCGACGAGGATGGCTGCGAGTCCGTTTTCGAGTAGTGGTGTGGCATTCCCGTAGTTGTCCTTGAGGTAATAGTAACTCTCTTCCCCGCCTTCGGAGAGGATCAGAACTTCATTTCGCACCAACGAGTGACCGAATCTGTCGTAAAAATTCAGCGTTCGCAGAAATTCAGACATCCGTACTTTCGGTACGACGAATTTCACCGTATTAAGTTTACTTATTTAAAAATGCACCTTCCAAACCACTGAAAGTAGGCGAATGCAAGATGCACGGCTCGAAAGCCATCAGATCCTTTTCTTACTACAGAAGAGGACATCCATTGCATGCATTTAAAGAGGCATCTTTCATTCCGACCGATCACCTTGTTTATTTTCCTTTATTTTTCCAGTTTCCTTCAATAATGACGGATTAAAAAAATAAAATTCAATTAAAATTTTTTTAATGGTACGAATACAAATGGAAAAAAAGGATCGTCAAAGCTTTTCCTCGTCACGAAGCCTGTAGACGTTCTGGAACTGAAAGAGTGGACGGTCGAGAGGAAGTGGATTAGGTGCTTGCCTGTAGGCAGCGGAAGTGAAGATGTTGTAGAGGCTAGGATCGAGGTTCGGGTCGTAGGTCGACGGGCAGGTGCACCCGAGCCCATAGTCTTCCATGTACGAGGAACTTCCAAACACTTCCGGAAGGAACTCTCCGTAGTGGATGTTCTGCATCTCCGCTCCGATGATCTTCCTAGATCGGGAGAGAAAAATTGCTAACCGAATCGTATCGGTGAAGGAGCCATAAGCGTACGGGTCCCAAACGGACCTGGCCTCCTGGAAGAGTCGTTCGTCGTCCCAGGCCGGATTGAGAGCCTTCAACTCCTCTGCGAGCCTGTTGTGCTCCCTCATGAACACTAGACGGAGGGAAAAGTATTCTATTTCCTCTTCCGAGAGGAATCGAGCCGTGGGAAAGAGGAGAAAACGTCTCACGAGTGTGGAGACTTTGGAGTCCGGGATTTTCCATCACTCTTATGTCCCCGGATAGGAAGGCGTCTGAGCCATCCTCTAATATCTGGTCGCTGGTCGGAAGGAGACCCGGATCGTTCGCATTCGTCACCAACTTCCCTGTTCCCACAGTGCGACATTACGGTGATGTGTAATCCGACGATGCTCCGAGAATGCATCACACGACAACGTTGGCATAGCCGGAACGGAAGGGAGAGCTTTCCTCGGACATCGAACGGAGTCGTGGTGGAATGGCGCAAGTATTACGAAACGGAAGTGAATCAAATTTCCCAGGCGTCAAAAAGTAACAAAAAAAGGGATAAGGAAGATTTCGTCCGGCAGCTTACTCCCATCGGGAATTCCTTGCTATGCTCCCGCACGACGAGCATTGGATCGAACCGTTTGCATCGATAGAAAGCCAAATGTGGGGAACGAACCGTCCTGATGGCTTCGGAGTTTCATAGCCAGGCTTTCGCTAGATCCATATATGCTGGAACCATCGATGAACGCTGTGATCATGTTTATCTGCTCTCGCACCTCTGTAAATGTCAAAAAGTGTAGGTTTCCTTTTTTATCATTTCATCTCGATTGCAGATACAATATGTATGTATATCGATGTATATTGCGCGACCCAAGAAAGACGTGCCATCAACGTTTCACGGTTTATTTCCCATTACTTTGCTCCTTAAAGGATAGTCATTAGATTCATGAAGGCTTTGTTCCGTTGCCGCCGTGTTCGAGCAGAAATGGAATAACCGGCTCATTTCTCGGGAAATTCTCTGGCTAGACACAGGGAGTGCAGTGAAGGCAACAAGTCGACGCACAAAACTTTTTCGACACGAAAATGTCGTGTCGAAAGTTGTCCCTATTATGGCACACTTTGAATGCGTGGAAAGGTGTGTCCCCAGAGGCTCTCAAGTACTCGAAGTGCGTCGCATCGACACACCGATGGTTTCGTGTAAAATTAGAGCCACAGAGTGAGGGATCACAGGGATCACTTTGCTACCAGGTCATCGTGCCATGTAAGCACACGTCGTGTACGGGCGTGGTGTCCTAAGTGTCGTCAGAAAGAAACACCAAGGCTAGGCCCGGTGCCTCATCTCATTTCCAGCTGCATTCCCGGACCTATTGGCGAAGCCCAGCCCAAGAGTCAAGAATGAAGGAACCCGGAAATCGAGGGGGCGGATCCGTAGTTTACTGGCGAGTATCGCACGCCGTGGACTTGCTATAAAGCAAACTACATCAAGAATCGTGCTCGGGGTCGGTTACACGAGGTCACGAGTCCCAACACTATATCGAATGACACACCGCACGAACGCCTGCAGTTGACAGAGACGAACGGTGACCGCATCACTGGAGTCAGTCGTGTCTTTTCACCACATAGACGCTCAGGCGTTGTGTAGTTCCCATCGATGGTTTATTTTAGATTGCAGTTAAAAACGATACGAATACGCTCTGCTTTCGCTACATAGCAGAACATATCGCAGTTGGGAGTTTCTTCATGTAATATCTTTGAATTAAAAAAAAAAGGAAAGTCGAAAAGAGGAGTGACCGGCTTGGAAGCGCGCATGAAGACATTTCCCCTCAGGTTTTTTTCCCCTCTCGGAACTTCTTAGGTTGAAATTTTATCAAATCGACACACAACCATCACTTCCCCAAAATTTCGACACACTTCTGGCCCGGAAGATCCCCTTAGGACTCCATGAAGCTCTTCTAAGAGTCCAAAATATGTCAAGACGCAATTTCGCCCTCAAAAAAAAAACAAGAAGAAAGTGTGTCCAAATGACCAGACGAGTACAAAATGTGTCACTTCGACACACCAAAAGTTTTGTGTGTACTTGGCGTAAGCATTAACTTCTCGTTCTCCTCTCTGGGATGAGTTGCCCTCCATCCTCTTCGGGAAGAGTTGCCTCCGGGCAAGGTTACACTGGGTTCGGTAGCAATGCAAGTCGCGAACGGCGAAAATGAAAAGAAACAATTGCGAAACCATCTCAACGCATCGCAGCGACGATAAAAATTGCGTAAGATTCAGCAAACTACGCTGTAAAAAATAATGATTCGGACTAGAGCCGTTGGATGATTAAAAAAATCGTTCACTTTCAGAACGGTTTTCTGTGATCTAGAAAACATTTTAAATGGTTTTAAGCACGCTTCAAAAACCGTTAGATATAACAACGCATGATAACAACTCGGTTGCCCTTGAGCTATGAAGAAAGGGATTCAATACGAATATCTTGTGATCCCTAGAACCTATTTTTTTCACTATCTTTGCTCGATAATTACTCGATGGAGTGATGATGTGAATGTCCCAGATCATAATATCGATCATCTGCCGAGTGAAAGCCTTTAGATTCTGGTAGCTCCATGAATCGACCGGTTTCGGGCTCGCTTGTGCTCGGTTCCACGAAACTAAAAATGGTTCCAACCCGAAATTTTAATTTTAGAAAGTAGAACCGTTTTCATTGCATTTGCTTAATAGTTGCTGGCTGGAGTGATGGTGTGAATGTCCGAGGTCGTTGCGTTTATATTCTGCCGTGAAAGCCCAGAGATGAAGGAATCCCTTCCAAGAATCAATTTCAGGTCTTCCACGAAAATGGTTCTATATGTAGTAATGTGAAAATGAAAAGGGTGAAAAGCGTTTCTGCTCGGTAAATTCGTTTGAAAGTAAAGATGTCCCCTCCGATTGGAGGAACGGTCGATGAATCGTTTGGTGGATGGGGCTCCAGCGAAGATCCTTTCTCTTGCAGGCTTCTTGTAATAAAATGATATCGGAATGAAATTCACATATTAGAAAAGCGAGATTCGATGATCTCCACGACCCCGGGGAGATGGAGCTTCAAATTTGCTGGAGCGATTCCGTGTCGAGAGAGGAAGAAGCATGACAAATTTCCTTCCTGTTGATGTTCTCAGAGAGGAATGAGAGGAGGTTGAATTTTGTTGCGGGAAGGGGTCAACGAGAGGTAATAGGCGCTTCCAAAATCAATCGATCAAGGTTTTACTCTCCAACTTTAATTTTTTTTTGCAGTGTATATGGCATTCTTATGAATGCCATATGAGAGAAATCATTTAGGAATCGTGCATGCATTTCTCGTGGATCGGTGTTGCGAAAGGCTCGCAAGATCTCATCCCTATACCTCCGCCCCGTTACTCGCCGTTCGCTAATGTACGGCCGTCGATTCTGATACCTGCCGATACCAAGAACCCACGACCGCAATAGAACCCCTTTCCGTCGTCAAAGTTGAACGATGACGACGGTCTGAATCCCGCTTCTCGTGAGAATCGGAGAATCACTCCGTTCGCGTAAGCCGAAGCAAGATTCGTCGGAGTACAGTACAGACCTCCACACGTGAACGATTCGCTGCCAGCGCATATGATATCGTTCCCGTCGACTCGTCGGATGATTCGAATCTCCTCGCCAAATCGATCGGTTCATCGTATTTTAAAAGGTAGCAATTACTTCGACCGAAGGGGTATCGGTAACATAGGCGACCCTTTAGTATTTCTTATGTCGTGTAAGGAGACAGAGGGTGCGAGTGCGAGTGTTTACGGGTTCTATCCCTCGTGCGAGACGCAGGATGTTTGTCGTTTGCCGTGACTTGCATCGCGCCTCGTCCGGATCGGCTAAATTCTTCCGTGGTACCTGTGGGTATCGCGTTCGAGATCGTACGAGGTCTGGAGAAGACTCGGTTCTTCGCGTCGGCACGTTTTAAGGCCCCGGACTTTCGCCGGGTTCGGCCCGGAGGCGTTAGGGATTCCTCGAGAAACTCGGGAGGTAGGGAATCGAGGGGGAGCGCGAGCGCACCTCATCCTCCGCCGACTGGAGATCCACTTGCGCACCGGGGAGGTCGTGCGTCGGGATGACACACGCCACCCTGCGCGCTGAGAGAAACGAGTCGACTACATCCTGTACATCTTCGACGAGATCCTGCACGCGTCGAAAGCGACTCGTTATTGCCGACCAAAATCGGTGCGGTTTTTTTAGGCCACCCTGTATATTTTCCTTCACTGTCTCCACCAAACTTGTCGATGCATTTTTACCATGAAGAAAATTTCCCGAAGATTTCATAAGGGGCATAAGGGCGTAAGGTCATAAGGGGCTTACTTATTTGAAGTTAAACGCAAGTAAAGCTACAAATGCTAAGAAGCCTCAACGTGAACCTAACTTAATTAGTAAAAAAAAATTGAAGTGAACGGATTGCCGTTCACTTCAATTTTTTTTTACTAATTGGCCCATGAATTCGCTCTCGCCTATGATATCCGGCAAACAGTATAATTTTGGCGAATGTTCGTGCATTCACAAAATCGTGAGGATATCATGACGCCCAGAAACGGTTTTGGGTTTCCCGGTTGAAACATGCTGATGCGAGGAATCCCGATCGTGGCTTTCGTGGAAGGCCCATCACACTGAACCCGCATTTACGCTGCTGCGTCACTTTTTTTAAAATTCTTTTTTGACTTAAAGGGAAAAAAATTAAAAGTTAAAAGTAAAGTTAGAATTATATTGCATTTCCGCTTTCTCCTTCATGTGTGGGACAGGATTCGAAGCTATTAATAATTGGGGGTCGCAAGTCGTTGGGCTCCATGAAACGGGGTCGTGGACCGAAAAAGTTTTAGAATCCATTTTTCTACAGGGAAGTGTTTGGGCCTGGTGATCCCGAGTCCTGTCTGCACCTAACAGAACCCTCTGCCCCCCCCCCCCCCCCCCCCCCCCACCCCCCCTCTAACAAAACCCTCCCCCCCCCCCCCCCCCCCCCAACCCATTCTTCTGTGTCTCCCACTCGTCATCGAAAGACAGCCATTTCCCGGTATCCACTCCATGTCCCGTATAATAATACAAAATTTGGAACATTTTATAAGAATTCCACGAATCACCTCGAGCAGTCTATTATTATGATCGTTACAACGAATGGATCGCAATGCACCGTGGTGATCGGAGTCTCGGGAAAATCGTAAAGAGAGTGTAAGAGAGGATGAGAGGCTTACCTCCTCCACAGTAGGGAATGGACCTTTGGAAACTCATGCACGTCTGGGGGACGGTGAGCTGGGAATAGAAAGGGTCATCGTGAGGAATCTCGATCGGAAAACACTCCTCCGGCGACGGATCGAGCTCGCAGCATTTCAAATCTGTCATCGGTAGATGGAAAATATTCAGTCGTCGCTCGAGACGCGACTGCGCGAGGAGATGGAGAAAAGGCGATACCTCCGTTGGGGGTGAGGCCGATGTCGTGATCCAAGAATTGTCCCCATTGCATGACCATGTGGGTGACCATCCCGGTCGGTTCGTCCGCGTCTCCGTGAAGCCTGTTGGACACTTCCCTCGGATTCGGCAGCGTGAAAGAACCTCCCGATCCTCGGGGGATGCCCAACCCTGCAACGTTCCGTTTCGAATCGGTTCCATCCGACCGAACGTGAGGATTTTGCCAGGAAGTCACGCCGTCGTGCTGTCGTTATGCTTCGGAACGAGACGACTCGTCGGGTGAGAATTACGAGGCGATCCAAAAACGATTCATCGTACGAACCGATGACGCTCGAGTGAGGGACTCGAAACTCGGTACCGTGCTTACTATCATCTTTAATTTTTGCGTGCAACGTCACGCCTCGGCATGACCACCTGCACGTTCACGACACGACCCGATGCGACGGGAAAGTTCAGTCCAAGTTTTAGTTAGCTAGCATAGATAGCGGTAACTGTGGCGATGATTTTCTCTTTCAGATCGGCCGAATCAGTAGGTCAAGAAGCGTATACAATGTCCTTTACGCATCCCCCAAGAAGAAGTCTTTCAGTGTTAGATCCGGAGAGTTAGGTGGTCACTGTATCGGTCCTCCTCGGCCACACCGGTCGTTGTTGAAGGTCTCATCGAGGTGATTACGGACACGAATGGACCACTGTGGAGGAGTTTCATCCTACCGAAAAATGGCAACATCCATGTCGTCCTCATCGAGATGCATCGTGCACGATCGCATTTATCGGTATTTCTTCTTTACCGAACGAATGGTTCGTTCTGGATCGTATTTGGACATGCAGCAATAATATCGACAGCCTCGGCTCGATGCCTCACTGACAACTGGTGTTGCCGAGGAGGACCGATACCGTGGCCACATAACTCTGCGAACGTAATACATAATTTGTTATGATGCACCAGACTCCAATTAAGTTAATGAGTCTCAAAGCTTCGATTTCGGACATAGAACAATATCATTCCTCCTATAAACGTCATTGCAAGAATTTTTCACTTTTTATTTTACTCCTACGACGCTATACAATTGCAGCATCCCTAAAATGTCAACCGGCCCCCCCCCCCCAAAAAAAAAAAATTTGTTGAAGACATTATAGAAAATTTGAAAGAATCAGAGAGAATCATAGAGCTTCAAGGGTTTCATCCAGTTTCATTCGGCAAAAGCAAGTTGGCTCTTATAAGTTGACATTTTCGCCCAATGCGAAGGCGAATTGGTTGTCATCTTGGGTTAACGCACTCAGGTGCATCGAAAATATATGTTCTTTGGTTTCCTACCTGGGACCGTGGTTAGTAGTGCCTAGAGGAAGATTAAAAAAAAAAAACAATTTATTTTTTACTGACAGTGAATAGCCGGACGGAGAAGCCTTCACGACCATTTTTGATATGTGGTATTTTCTGCTTTTTGTAAGGGCTAGGTATATTGGGGGACCGTAGACCGACTCGACACGTTGTCGAGAATGGGCAGCATGGAAATGCACTCTTTTCATCGCGGTGGACTGCGCGAAAGAGAGAAAAAAATAAGAGGAGAGCGCGAACCGTCGTCGTAGGAGTTGCCGTTGTTGATGCGACGATAGTAGGTTTCCGCGGATCCCCAATAGATGGCATCCGAATCGCACCCGCACGAGTCCGCGAGGTTGTTGCACACTCCATCGTATGTGCGGTATCTGGGGTCTTGGGAGGCGCAGTCGGGCTGGACGCCCGAGCAGCAGGCAGGGGGTGCGCCGGATCGAGCTCTCTCCTCTTTTTCCCAAGGGTACATCTCCCGACGAACGAGGTATTCCGCTTCCTTCCGAGGAATCTCCAACCTCATTCCAAGAACGAAGGGAGTAAATAGGCGTGGAGGTGTTTCTTGCTAGGAAAGATGAAAAGAACGTCCGCTTACTTTTCCGCCAGTTTGGATGTGGCAATCCTTAGAATGCGTGCCATTTTCCCGATTTCCCGTGCTTCGGGTGTGGTTTTGGCGCGGAAGCTCGGCCTCTCGCTCCTGGCCCCTGCCAGCATCAGGGCCTCCATCTCCTTTCCGTATTCCATCTCTGCGTCCTTCATATCACATCGATGGGATTTACTTCGTGCCGAACCGGATCACGGTGAATGTTTTTTGCTTCTTTTCTCTAAAACGTGAGGCTCGTCGCGAACGATTCGGCATGAATAGGATCGCGAAAGGAAGTTGCCGACCGGTAGTAGGTACGAGGGGTCTGTGAGAAACTAACCTCGATGGACTCTTTAGTTGCTTTCGAGATGGAATCCCTTTCGTCTCCATTGGCCACCGCGAGCGTTAGCGCTAGGATCGCTACGACGAGTCTGCAACGATGGCATACGGTATACATGAGTGGCCTCGAGCTAGAGACCGAGTGGTATTTTTCATGACGATTGCAACGTTTCGGACTCGTTTGGCTCGAAACATTTTTGATCCACTGTGAAATGTGAAATCAAGCATCCGCTCGAAACACCGATAAAGAACACCGTGATAAGGTCTTCCGGGAAAAGACGACACGATTGGTGCCAGGATCGATAAAGTCGAGGCAAGAAGCCTGCAAGAGAAAGGATCTTCGCTGGAGCCCCATCCACCAAACGATTCATCGACCGTTCCTCCAATCGGAGGGGACATCTTTACTTTCAAACGAATTTACCGAGCAGAAACGCTTTCACCCTTTTCATTTTCACTTGGGTTTTCATGAATCTGGTAATCGATTCGAAAGCAGCCGATGAATTGGGAGAATGGCGCAGCACAGAGAGGCACATTCGATGCCTGCAATTCCCCATTCGAGGCGATCGAGACGAAGTGCTTCGTCTCGGGAATCCCAACTTGGGTTAGGCTTCCAGGAAAAAGTGGATCAAACTTTCCTCGGTCCATGGAAAAGAATCCACGATTCAGAAGGAATTAGGACCGATTAGACTTCATTGCGAAACGTGCTTCATTCTCCTTCGTGATCCCTCTGAAAGTAGCTATTTCCTTTCTTTTTGTGCCCTCATCGAAGCCTCTGTCGGAAGCGAAACTCTGCTCTTTTCACATTTAAGTGAAGAGCTCGGATTTTCGTACAAATCATCTCGAAAGTCGTCCGTGCCCTTATATTAATAGTATGTCTATCGATAGTTGTTGCGCGTAGAAGAGAATGCAATGCACTCACATTTTGTAGTCCATGTCGGCAGTCCTGCCCGGCGCATCGGCGTCGACAGTTAAAATGCGTCAAAAATGATGGGCTTATATATGATTCTTGCCACACGTTGTACCTTTCCCAATGAAAAGGATGTGAAAAAGTGCATCTGGTTTGGAGGACTTCCCCGTCCGGGCCACGTGTATCACCGTTTTCCTCATGCACGGCTGGAATATTCCTCCGTTTTCCTCAAACATGGCTATAATTTGCCTCCGTTTTCCTCATGCAGGCAGGCCCACGCCAACACTTGCCCTATTAACTTCAAACGACATCCTCTCTTATTCGTGGCAAACTCTGACAGCACGTATATTGTAAAATCGTTAAAATATGGATCGACATTTAAAATGGCCAACCCCATGACGGTACTTACAGCGGTAACCCGATGACGAAGCGCTCTTCTTCCATCCTATTATTCGTATTTTCCATGCGAAGAATGACCACCCACGTGCATTTCATCTTTTCTCATTCTCGATATACAATTGTATACACTACACACTTCTTATTCGGGCAATCCGGTTCCTCGACCCTAGAAGCGGCAACCCTCGGCAAACTATAGGGTTTCCTATTTTAACCCTATAGTGTTAAAGTGTCAAGGATCCTTCGAGAGCAGTAAAGTCAATCGCCCCAAAATATCTTCCGATGCGACTGGAATGAGTCTCAAGTTCTCGCACGGTATCCCAACTTTTCCAACCGACGACGAAGAGGAAGACGTTGGATTTTCTCGATACCTGTGGTTAAAGACGTGAGCCGAGATTCGAGGCAATTCTGGCCCAGAGATAGAGAAAGGGGGATTCAATTACGGGTAATGGTCGAGGGCAAATTAGGCATTTTATTTTATCTTTTGAGCCATTTGCACCGGCTGAAACCACGTGTGGAAGAACGACTCTCGGCCTGTCCACAGTAAATCTCGTCGTACTGCATTCGGGTTCCGTGCCCGAAGGGTTTTATTTTGTGTTCCGTGTGGGTTAAGATCGAGGACGATCGACACGTGCGTGTGCCACATTTTAGAGAAAGCAATTCGAACGAACCGTTGGGATGTCGTCGTGAAAATGGCAGAAGCGGGAGGGCAGGCAACAGAGGGCCCGAAGAAACACCAAAAGGCTGACTTCGGCTTGCAAAATCGGCTTCACGTCTTGCTTTTTGAGAGCGAAGACCGGCAAGATCGGCCGAACCCTTTCGTGCGACCTGGGAAAGGGAAAAAATCCACTCGAGGAACTCTGGGGAGAGTCCGCTTTTCCTTTTTTTAACGGTCGTCGAATGTCATGAAATTTAAAAGATTTCCACGAAAGAGAGGAAGGGATTAAGATCTTAATACTAAGTCGAATAAATCGTGAAGGTATTACACTTGGGGTGTAAAAATATAACTCGACCGATTCCTGCGGGCGCACGTTACTCGATGAGAGTGCGGGGATACGGCAGGGAGCTATACTCCGGCAACCCCTCCGATTTCGTCACTATCGCTCAAAAATGTAATAGGATGCTTGCGAACGGTTCGATCGGCAAGGAGGCGGCGATAGATCCAGCTTCCATCGAGTAATAACGAGACGAGCATCGGGACGATCTTCTCCAGTTTCTGATGGAAGCCATGCGGATGCATCGGAAAAGAATTCCACCGCTTAATAAATGGCCGGACCATCGTGGGACGCGATAGATGCATCGTGATCGACGTTCGCTTTCGACTCCTGGAGCATTTCTTTATTTATCTGAAAATTTTGACCGAAATTCGTCACGATGCCGACACCTTTGAATCGATTAAAATTGTAGCTCGTGACGACGAGGGGGACAGAGACGTTCGGGCATGACGACGAGGGGGCAGAGACGTTCGGGCAGTTCGGTATGCCTCCAGAGCATATACAGGGTCGCCCACATCAGAAGCGTGAACAACGTGAACAAAATCGAGTAATGGGTTTGCCATTCAAACGCTTCAAGGCACCCTTCAAAGATGAAAGCTTTTCATTAGCAATTACACGTTTCTTCGGCAAAAAAGAGATTTCCCTAGGGATTCGAAAAGCAGATGAGAAAAAAACAGAAAAGGTAAATGAAAACGTAAAGGTTACTATCGCCGGTATCGGTACTGGTATCGATCGTCGACGGAAATGCAAAATTTCCCCATTTCCAATTTCTTAGCTCTTACACTTTCCAATCTGTCTATCGAACGAAACGGGAAAATGTTCTTTTCTTGTTGACGATCATACGACCGTTCCCGATTTCTTTCTACCCCGTCCTTACGTTTTCATCATCTGCCTTTAGAGTTGTATTTAAAAAAAACTAAGAAACGTGCAACTTTTTTTTATGGAAACAAGAAAATCATTCATATATGAAACGGTGTCAGGAAGTCTTTAAAGTAAGTTATCGCTCGAAAGCTTAAAATTTTCTCTCGTTCTGTTTCATCTTAGCCACCCCGTATTTACTGGAAAAATTTCCTCGGAGTTGTCAGCATACCGCTCGTCTCACGATGTCTCTGCGGTTTCGTTCTCATTTACGGCGGTGATCGACATTATTGCATCATCGTCGATGACTGCATGCTGTTACATTTGACCGTACGGCTGAAGCTAAGACACAGATATTTCTGATACAGGGGGCGGCACAAAAAAGGTCCCTCGTTTTGAAAGCCGAAGAAAAAATTTGTTATAACCGATATCGGTATAGGAGACGTACCGATTCGTCGGAAAACTCTCCGAGAAAAATCTAATTACATAATGTGTTGAAACTGACCTCACCGAAGGTGAGCACACTGGCGAACACGATGGGCACGGTTTCTGATCGCAGCTCGAAGAGTTTGACGCTCGACCAAGGAAACGAGTCTCGTGATCGCATCCTTCGGGTCTGTGTTTGTCTTCGGGTTCTCTAAACGTTTTTCCCTCGAAAAAGACCGATTCATCTAGTTATACAGTACATATGGAGCTTCCTGAAGGAAAACGTGTTAAAGAGAACCCGAAGACGATCCCCGACCGGCACGTGGTGACGAGAATCGTTTCATCGGTCGAGCTTCGAGCTCTTGAAGCTGCCATGAGAAACCTTTCCCTACGTGCTCGCAAGCGTGCTGACATTCGGAGACGTCATTTTCAGCGTATCATGTAATTAGATGAAACTTGAAGAGTTTTCCAACGAATCGTCACGTCTCCTATACCGATATCGGTTGTTGAAATTTTTTTCCAGCTCTCAAAACGAGAAGGATTTTCGTGGGGCACCCCGTATGAACCGATCCGAGGTGACGAAAACATTTTCCCCGTCGATATACGATCGCGAAACAACATGGACCTTTCGGGTGGCTGTACCGGGCATGCAGATGGACGCACGGCGATCGAACTTACCGGGTCGCTCGAAGAGATCGCGGGAAGTCGATCGCGATGAATGATGCACGCGATCGTAGGGGGCGCCACCGGTCGAACCGAGTCACCTCCCCGGAAGGAAACACGATCGCTCGAAGAGATCCCGGTTCGCCGTGCGAATCCTCGCGGGAAAAGGGGCGGAAACGGAACGCGATCGCGAAACGGATACCGCGGGGGCACCGCAGAGATACCCGGGAACTCGCTGCTCGAGATGGGACAAAATACTCTGCGTTTTGTGAGGAAATCGGAGAGACCGGGAAAGACGAGCAGTGCCTAGAAACCAGGACGGCCCGAGACACGAGAGAATGCACTGTTGGGCTGCAGTGCCACTGTGTCCGTTGGGTTGCAGTGCCACTGCATCCGTGGCGCTCGAAAGAATGTGCGGGTTCTCTGGAGCGCGTCATCCCACACCATTTTTTTTATTTTGCTTCATACCGCAAGGGCTCTGAGCGTCCTCGTTTCCTCTTTTTCTGGTCCGAGAACCGTTTCTACGTTTTCCTTCCATCGATGCTTTGAAGAACTCTCTTCGGAGACGTCGAACGAGACATCGGTCGCGGATCGTCGCATCGCTCCGGATGGACGAGTGCGACCGAAGCGAGGCGCGTATCTTTCCGCACGGGGTGACGTAATAAATAAATAGCGTTTATTGACGCCGGTCACGGGCACCATCGTGCTCGTGTACGATGCGTGCTACCGAGGCCGATAAGATAGAAGGAAGGCGACAGGGATTTATTGAATCTGATGTAAGCCGCTATCGTGCTTCGTTGTCGTCCGCATGTTCCGTATCTGGTCCACATCTGTGAAAAAGGTCAAGTACCTGGGAATAGTAGTTGATGATGAACTCAAATTTGACGAACGTGTGCATTCTGCATACAAGACCTGCCAAAGACGCATCTATTTTGCGGTGAATCTTCTTGGAGACACCTCCAAATTGCAACATCCAATCGCCATGTTTATTGCAACGTGCATTCTGCCTGCGCTTTCCTATGGGATTGCTGCATATGCGGGCTTCATCTCGATCAAATCCTGCCAACTCGTTAAGAAGATTTTGGAAAGGCTGGCGCGCCTCTCGGGACAGAGTATCTCCAACCATGAAGCTGACTTCATCGAGAGAGCGAACGAGGACGGTGGACGAATCGATAACACGATCCGTGAAGATTCGAGTCGTCCCCTCTTTGCAACAATAAATAAAATGCACAGAACAACAGGCACGGAAACCCGAAACATGACGCATCTTCCCTACATCAGAATTGAAAAAATGAGGAGAATGTCGATTCGGCTGACCAAGCGGGAATCTTTCTTACTTCTGTCAAGCTTCTTTTTTTGTGTTTTTCTTTTTCTTTTTGACGAGCCGAAACCAGGTGAAATAAATCTCTCAATAATAAATAATAATAATAAACAGAATCGAAATTTGGCATACTCTCTCGACACAGAATTGCTCCAGCAAATTTGAAGCTCCATCTCCCCGGGGTTGCGGAGATCACTCAGTTTCGATTTTGGGAGATGTCAATGTCGTTCCGGTAATTTTTAAAATTATATTTTATATTTTATTTTTTACCCACCTGGGTGGCCACTCCTCGGAAGTTTTAGGAGAAAGTGAACTTTAAAATGAATGATATTGACATGGGGGTGGCAAAAAGTCCCTCTTTTTTGCTTTCAGTGTACCATTTCGCCATTTAAAAAAAATG